ACGTTACTTTGGACAGTGCATATCTTCTGATGTTGTCTTGAGCTATCCTAGATCCTTGGGAAGGATCCAATAGTCAAAAGTACCAAATCCAATCAGAAGTATCTTGTAGACTGTGTGTAAATAGCAGTGGTGGTGATGATGATGATGATGATGATGATGATGATAGAATTTGTGTCTTAATGTTTCTTGTGTACATGGCTCTCCCTGTCCTGCAGATATCCAGTCATTTTGTCCATCGAAAACCACTGCAGTGTTACCCAACAGAAGAAGATGGCTCAGTATCTGACTGAAATCTTGGGGGACAAACTGGACTTGTCTTCAGTCAACAATGAGGATCCCACAAAGCTGCCTTCCCCAGAGAGCCTCAAAGGGAAAATCTTGGTTAAGGTAATCAAAGATCAGATTATACACCGATCAGATTTGGGTTGGCGTCTACGGTAGGCAGGATGTTCTCCAGGTCCTCCTCTTGATCTTACCCAAGGATGTGGCTGCCATATTTAAGCAGAGACCTGACAACCTTTTCCTATCTAGCAGCCAACTAGAGTCAAAAGTCAAAGTCGATGGACTTTATTTCAGCCATTGACCAGCCTTATGTAACACAAAACAGGGAGATAAGATAAGATCAAAGATAACATGCCATAAATAAAACAAAATGGAATAAAAGATAGATTGAACACATTTCACAGCACTGGTGAAACCTGCTTCGTTTGGGTAAACCACTTTGAATAATGAGGCCATTACCCCTAAGGCTCCAGTGAAAAGCCCATGATAAATAAAGCTCGAAACAGATAAACAGGAGGGTTTACCATCATTGTAATTACTAAACTTGGAGCAAGTTTCATCAAATCAAACTCTTCTAACTGAAGACCTGTCTAATCTTGCTGTCTGTTACACTACGGGGTTTTTTGGAATCTCACTTCTAGAACTGCAGCATGCAGGGTGAATTAAGGTTCATCGGATTAAGATATCTAGCAGACTTAGGACTGGCAACTCGGTCGCCTAAGAAGACATCAGTAAGAATTTGGCTGTGCTCAATTCACATCAACTATTCATTATCTGCAGTTCTTCCTAGCCAAGTCATACCCCACTGTCATTAGTGCACGAGGAGAGAAATCATAATAGTATAGATTCTCCTCCAATCCTTTTTTTTTTTTTTTTTTTAAATAAAAAGGGTCAGCTGCATATACGGGGCTGAGCCTACAGGGAAAATAGCAAGCCTTAGCCAAAATTTGAAGACAGGAATCCATGCGCTGGATTAACTGGATTAAGAATATTGATTAGGAACTTGGATTGGACAGACCCAAGCTTTGAGAAGCTGAAATAAATGCCAAGTTGGACTCCGTAAAGGAGCTACTGATGACCCTTTGCTAGAAAGAGTTTTACTGTATCAGGAATGAACTAGGAACTCTGGGAACGCTGAAAGGTCTAGCTAGCTGGTGAGGATTTAGATGCATTTAATGTCACATCATTTTGATAGGCACACCTTCCCCCAATGCATGGAAGGTTATTCCAAGGTATTTAAAACAGTTTACTTGTTCTAAACTGTGCCCAATTTAGTGACCAATTTAACATCCTTGGCCTTTTAGCGAACACCATTATTTTGGTTTTGTCATAAGTAATCTCTAATAAAGGTTAGTTGTCACTGTAGTAAAGGAGTTTGCTAAGATGTTTGTTTGCCAGTCTTGGTGGGTGATAGGCTAAATTATCTCACTGAGTAATGATTGGATTAATATATAAATGTGATTAAACATATATTAATATATAAATGCTTAACAGTATTGTTCCATTTAATAAACATGGGCTGTTTACATGCTGGCAGACAGTCAATTCGAAGATGGCTTATGATTTGGGCAGCTACAGAATGACATCCTTAGGCTTTTCCTGCTTGGTTGGTATCGGGCAGTGATTCTCCTCTTCTTCCAGCTCTGTAGAACATCACAGGATGCTGGTGGGCTGAATTAGCAAGAGACCCCAGATGCAAAATGGGTCTGTAATCGTGAAAGCATTGGCCAGCTGTAAAATGGGGCAATTACGCCCTTTTTTTCTTCTAATGCATATGCGAAGTTGATGCCGGTAGGTTTTTAGACTCCAGATTCAACCGTGGGGAACAGCCTGTGAAGAACAGGACAAAGGAACCAAAGTTGTCCTACAATGTTTTGGGTAAAGGAGGTAGCTAGGAATTTCCTAACAAGAAAAGCTCTCAGTAACTTTTTACTTAGTCAGGGCTAATCCATCCAGAAGGTCCATTTAAATACCCAGTTGTTTTTTGATGCAAGGCAGGAGCAAAACACTAAAAACCACACACCATGTCACTCTGTGCCACACATCACAGAGCACATGCTGGAAAAAGGTCAGCGGGGACTGATATGATCTGTATATCAACCACTGAGAGAAGTTCATAAGTAAAAAGCAACTGCCTCTCACCAGGGAATCCAAAATAAAGGCCCCTGTACCACACAACAGACATTTCCCTTCCAAAGTTATGCTGCTGTGATATCTAAGCCAACTTCCTTTTCCACTACTGGGTGCTGCAAAGGAAGATCAGATGGGAGCAACCTTCTGCAGTTCTTCTGACCCAGCAACCGGGCTCTGAGAGCTTTGACTCTGCTATCAGGCAGTGTCATTCTGCCTTAATAAAATGGAACATTGGAAAGTGTCCAGGGTTGGGATGAAAATCTTAACAAAACTGATTTTCTCATCACTAAGATTCAAGTTTTAACCTGAACTTCATGATGTTCATGAGTCACATAAGCCCAGTTTGCCAGGTGGGGAAGAGGCTCTTGACCTTCTGTGCTAACCCTGTGTCTTCCACCCCAATACAACTTGGAGACACCGGTTTGGTGTTGTGTCTCTACGAAGGATTGGACCAAAGGTGATTTGATAAAGTCACCCCTTGCAAGTCAGTTTGCTCATTGAATCAGGAAGATGTGCCCCCAAGGCCTCAAATCAATTGTAAGATTTAGTGGCTTTTTGTGCATCCGCGCCACCATTTTTATGGAATCATATGGATTCAATTCACTCATTTTCAATCCTTGTCAGCCATTTGAATTGGGTTGTCAAGTTGCCGACTTGAATCAGATATGCTCCAGGAAGTTAAGTAACTAAATGAGGTGGTAATTAACTTTAATTAATTTGTACCTTGGTTCCTTCCAAACATATGAGAAAAGAATACATTTTTCTTTTAGTTAAACTGTTTCTTTCATGCACCCTTTCCCCTCACTCCTGTGCTTTGACGCCGCCAGAGTTTAATTCTTTTTCCCAAAACAGTTTCAGACAATCTGCGACAGCTGCCCAATTCTCAGTGATTGGATTTTGGAGTGCGGGAGATCAAGGCCAGCTTTTCAAGAGTCTTCGGCCTCTCGAAAGCAATCCATTTCCACTCAGCTTTGATAAACGCTTTGGTTTCTGCTTCCATAATGGAGAGCCCAGCTTCTCAACTGACGAAGCTGAGGCCAATCAATCTAATACCCTTTTGGGATTTAATGGCAAGACTTGATCAATAAATATATAACTCGTTGCCCTATTTGAAGCTTTCCATTTCTTTGTGGAGGAATGGGGGGAGGTTTAGGTAGAATGAAAACAACTTGGGCAAGATTTAAACTGTCCAAGTTGATGCAGACCTCAAGAGCTGTCAGCCTTCCTAGGTAGACCAGACAGGAAACACAACCAGATGAGCTAATTCTACTTTATTGTAAGGCTACATTAACAAAATCTTGCAAGTCTGAAAATACAGTTCTCCCTCCTGTTAACCTGAGAAGTTAAGGAAGGTCCATTCTGAGCCTCTTTTTCCACCCATTATGCAGCTATGGGCTATACCCTCTCTTATCTGACTGCTCCCTAGGCAGTATCGCTTTGCCCTGTTTCCCAAGGTCTTTCTCACATACCACTGCAAGAGCAGATAAGGAAAAACTCTTTTAGTGACCTCATGGATACATCTCTGTTGTTTCCTTGGCAATCCTATGCAAGCAGTTTTCTGCTGCCACCTTTGGAATTATTTTCAATTAGCAAGTGTGGAAGTTGGCATTTCTTGGTGGCCTCATACCCAAGCATTAACAGGTAATAGGCAGAGTTGGCCGTTGGAAATTCTCTGCCAAATTATTTGAACGATTTCTACAACTTTATCCAGGGGAAGGGGACATTCTTCCACCCTTTATCAAGGTATAAACTCTCCTTTAATGGAAATCATAGCAGCAAGAGTTGAAAAAGTACTGTGGGAGCTGGTCCTCTTCATATTTTCATTTAGGGTTGATGGGAAGCCAAGCATCAGAATGCCATGTTCCATTTTATAATGAAAACTAAGAGATTCCCACAGACTCCTTGGCCACCTAAGTAGATGCAAGAATATCCCGCCATGAACATTTCACAGAAAGGTTCTTCTCCTTTAAAAGAATTTTGAAAGCAAACCTCTTCCCTCAAAGTGAATAAGAACTGGTCGAAAACTGTAAGAGAATCTGTCTGTTCAGCCTTAAACATCTGTTACCTTGGCTGGCTTACTCAGCCACAGCACTCTTGGGCCCATTTTTCCCACCTCAACCCATCTTAGAGGATTGCTTCACAAATAAAACTGGGAGAGAGAATAACTTGGGATGGAGGGGAAGGAGGAATTATGCAAGAAATAAATCTGCATTTATCAGCGATATGCCTCCTTTGATTCTGGCACAGCGACGAGGCTGTTGGTTGGTCTTTTGCATTTATTCCTTTCCTAATGACATGGTTTTGCTTGCTAGGGGAAAAAGCTTCCAGCCAACATTAGTGAAGATGCCGAAGAGGGCGAAGTATCAGATGAGGACAGTGCTGATGAGATGGACGATGACTGTAAGCTAATGAATGGGGATGTAAGTATGGAAAGGCAGACTGGTGGGGTGTGGAGGTGATTCTTGTTGATCAAACTCAGCTGCATTAATGTGGGTGTGGGTAAAGGAGGAGGATGGGGGAATACTTTTTGCCACGATTTTGTTAGAGGCAAAACAATACCCCCAAACTCTCCTTGGGGGGCAAACTCTCAAACTCTTGGAGGTGTGTTTAAAAAAATCTGCTCTAAATGAAGGCACGAATCGTGGCTTGTCAAGAGTAAGGAAGATGATCTTGATGGAAAATGCAAGAACTATTACTTAGGCAAAGGGGGCTGAAACATTTTATAAGCCCTGAGAAGGGAGATAAGATTTGGAAGCCGCTCGGGCAGAGGGCTCCCTGATTCACTGGAGTATAAGAAGGGGTGGGTACAGCATAATCAAACTACTTCTGGTCTTCCTGTGGAGTTGATTTCCGGGTCTGCTGTACCTAATGGGGCTGACGCTATATGCCCTTCTGCTGATTGTCTGCCCTGCATCCAACCCTGATTGGCTAGGACCAATTCTTACAAAGGGAAGCCGCAACCAGGGCCAGAAAGCAGGATTCTTCCTCAAATGCATCTGTTGACGTATGGAATTCCTAGCCACAAGGAAAAATGGGAGCTTCTAGCATTAAAAGGGGCATATAAAGCTGGAACCAGCTGCAAGAGAGGACTCTTGCCTTCTTATAGTCTCACCCTTTGGGGGGAACATCTGGAGCCACCTGGAAAAGGATCCTTATTGTAAGTAGGATTTGTTCCCACATGAACTTTGCGCATGGATCTCATGTCTCATTGTCAGGGGTCCGGCAGCAGAGTTTATCAACCTCCAGGATGCTGGGGATAAACGAGACCTAGCAGAACTACATTTTAAAGACTCAGCTGAGACATGTCTCTTGCTCACCTGGGACACTGGCCATCCCATCCTCCTTTCCTCCCCACTGGATTTTGTCCTAGTGCAGTTAGAAGAGAACCTGTGACATGGTGGCCCATGTGACATTCCAGGCAACAGTAGAACGGCCACGGTAGAACCCATTCAGAACCCTTCCTTACAGCTGAGAGAGAGAGAGTCTATTTTGGTCAAGGACTAGCATAGAGCAAGGTGAACTAAAGCATCCATACAAATATAAATAAAGTGAGTACAGCTGATGAACATGGCTGTTAATAAAAATCCAAGAATTTCACAGCAACAAGGGGTGAAGGGCTCTGTGTTTCCCTGCTTAATTTAAAAAAAAAAAGTATCCCTGTACACTAAAATTTGATCTTATTAGCTCCTTAACATGTTTTTGATGTGCTGGGAAATTTGATCTATTCCTCCAAGGGTTTCCCCTGCATTTGTACCTCAAATTATAAAATCCTGAGAAAAAAAATTACCCCTGGGCCATTATGTTTTCTTTGAGGAAAAACATTTTAGGGCTACGTGTTCAGGGAGGAGGTCCCTTAACCCACATAGATGAAAGAAATTGTTAATTCAGCAACCCTCTCTTACGTCTGATGTTCCCTTTCTGTCTCTCTTTTGTTTCCTGGCCATTGTGTCCTTTTGAAGTGGAAGGTATGGTAAAAGTCAATTGTTGGCTATAGTATTATCCCTCTAAGTTTTAAACTGTTTTGTTACCAAACCATGTTTGTGCTGAAATGGTGGCAGGAAACTGGGGGGCGGGGTTGGGCCTCAGAACATTGAATATTAGGGACCAGAACCTCATCGTGTCCTTCTCCTTTAAAAAAAAACACAATAACCATTTGAAAATGTTTGTCCTAATATATTACATATGGTGGCTTTGGGAAGAGGTTGGTGAAACTCCAATCATGATCGAAGAGACAAATCAGATCTCTAGCAATCAATTCGACCGCTTCTTGGGAGTTTTGAACCAAAGTTTGATCTTGGAGGCACAGAGCCTACCAGAACCCTCATCTTTGCAGCTTTCCTAGAGTAGAGGCAGTCAACTGAATCAACCTTTGGGATTTTCACCTGGGAGATATGGAACGACAGCCCGTCTGCTTTCTGAACAGCTCCTTTCCCATTTCAGGACCTCAGACAGCTCCTGATTTGTTTCAAAAGTCGGAACAGATCAAAAGGCTCGTCCCAGCCGCCCCCCATGCCCCCAAATAGTGCTTAACTGCTGGCGTTATTTTATATAGCCCCAGCTAGGTTTGAACAGCAACTTTTAGCAGGGAAGTTTTTCCCCCCTTCAGTCCAAATCCTAAGGCTGAAAACGGCTTGAAGGAAAATTGGAGCGATAAAATGAACCAAGTTGGAGTCTTCGCGGCTTCCACCCGGAGCCTGTTCATTCCTGTACTGTGTGCTCCATTGTGTTTCTTTATTTTTTTTTATGTACTTTTGTCCTCCAGCTCTGTCTTCGTTAGCTTGTAATTTGTTTTGCCCCCCCTTTTTTTAAAAAACTCTGCAAGCAGCATCTGGGTTGCCAGATGTGAATGACTGGTCAAGCTCACAAAGGGCACTTCGCAAGCAAAGAAAACGACAGCTTGTTTTCTGATAGCATTAATTGCCATGCGCCGTGGCCAATTAAGGAAGCAGAGGTTGTGTTCTTCAGAAACCAGTCAGAGGACGTAAATGAGAAAGAAATATGACGCATGCTGTAAGCTGTATAATGCACAACTGCAGTGTGCCCTACTTAAAAAGTATTCTTCTTGGAGGAGCTGCAGTAAAGGACAAGGTTTAATACCACGATCAGCAGTATTGAGGGTTCTCAAAATTTTCCCAGCTTTCTTTATTGTTTTAATCAAAAATGATGTTTAATGAATAGGAAAGGTTTGTCCCAGTTCTGGGCGCTGCATTTTAAGGAGGATTCAGACAAACCTAGGTAGCCTCAACACAGGGCAGCTGGGATGAGAGGGGGATTAGATTCCTTAAGTCCTACAAGGAGAGAGAAGGAGGGAAATTTTGTTCCATCTCCAAAAACAACTGAGGAAAATGATGGGAGTGCTTTTCACAAAGCGGAAGAGCCATTGCCCAGAAGAAAGTCAACATCTGTTACATAGGTCATATATTAATAGTCTTAAAATACAGATTCTGGTTGGATGTTAGGGGGGAAAACCCAAAGAGGAATTTGATGGTGGACCCAATAGTTAAGGGTGTGCTGATCTCCCCACCAGTGGATGTGTTCAAATGGAGCCAACCAGCCATGGTTCCGGAATGCTTCTTCAACTGAGTAGTGAGGTGGACTGCATGGCCTCAAAGGAGCCTTCCAGCACTACAATGTTGTGATTCTAAAGACAGGGCAGGATATTAAGACACAAACAAAAATGATTTCAAATGTTCCACAAACAAAAATGATTTCAAATTATTCCCATAACAGAGGCAAAGCCAGTGCTGCTCTAGCTTTCTGGTCTGCTGGCCACTGAATGTAAAGTTCCTGAGCTGACTGGCAAACTCATCAGCCTTCCTGTTTTGACATTTTCCTTGTGCCTAATTTAAAAACAGTTGAAGAAAAAACATCTGGGAGCCACTAATTAAATATTCATAGGCTTGTCATTCCACGAACTGTATGATAGAGATTTTTAGTTGGCCTCTTGGCTGTTTTAAACTGACTTAGAAGAGACTTTGTATGCAATGTCTTTAGAAATGACTTTACACTCATTTCTCGGGCTCGAAACCTTCCACAGGTAAAAATTACCTTGTCTGGAAAATGGTTTTGCCTCTATCCCAACACTACTGGCTTGGTAACAAAACACATCTCACCCAAGTTGTTAAATGGTCAATCCAGCTGTTGCAAAGTATTTTTATGCGTCCTTTAAACACGTCAACCATTTGGGATTGCTCGGGATAGTTTTCCAAAGGATCTGGGATTGTTCAAAATATCCACATTGGCACTGGGAAGGAACGCTCTCATTCTAACAAAGAAAAAATAATACTTTGCAGAACATCCATACTATGGGCCATATTTATGCAGCAACATGAACTGGTTTAACACCCGTTTGTGGAAAAGGGTATCTTCTTAAACTCAGAGTGGTCAATACGTACCGACTGGAATTTGGGGGGGGGGGTTGGATTCTTTGACAGTTAAACCAAAGTCATGTTTGCAGTGCAAATAGGTCCATAATATTACCTGTCTGATCTAAGCATGAGACTGTAGAATAGTCTGTTCAGAGAAAACGTGATTGATTTAACTTTTGGGTTGATGTGCTTCCTCTTCGTTTCCTTCTTTAGTTAATGTTTTACTGGTTATTGCTGGAAAATGCCCCCCCCCAAAGAGGATTGAATTTTTGCTAGCTCATAACTTCCAAATTTTTGGCTTCTAGGCTTCTTCTAATCGGAAGCGGGTGGAAAACCTCGCCAAGAAGAAACTGGACTCTCTGATCAAGGAATCTAAAATTCGGGACTGCGAAGACCCAAATAATTTTGCCGTCTCCAGCTTGTCATCCTCGGGGAAGTTGGGGAACAAGCATGATCTCAAGAAGGTGATTGGGGGGGGGAGAGGGAATCAATCTGAAAAGCTCAATTATAAAATATGCGTAAATAATAGGGTGAAGTTCTGGAAATATATAATTAATGTGTCACTTCAGAGGCTTAACTTAAAGATTGAAATTGCTATAGGATTCTCTAGCCAAGCAGTAGCTCTTACACACAAAAAATATGCAAGGCAAGGAAAATGCTTTTTCTCCGATAGGCTAGATTTCTGGGCACAGAGGCACTCTTTTTTTAGCATTTATCCATGCAATGCCTGGGAACTGAACCCAACTAGGAACTAAGAACTTTCAGTGATCTGATGTGTAAAAGAGAAGATCCTAAATCCAGGACCAAGGATTTAGGTCTTCAAAGTAAAAACCAGCCCAGTATAACAGTCAACAGATGTGCTGAGGTTATTTCAGTGTTACATGAATCAAATAAAATGTACATGACATGCAAACCAACCCAGCTCCTGTTTGTCTGGACTGTAAGACCCTTTTCCTCAGTGTGTAAAACTTTCCCAACATTAGATGAATTCAACAGGACTGAAAAACTGTCCTGACCGGCAAGAAACCACCTTTTGGCTTAATGAAATGGCTTGGTCCACTCAACTTGCTGAGGCAATGGCTGACTTTCTCCCACCATCCTGAACCCCAAACTTCCCAATTCCGCTTTAGCCTAGCCATTGTCTGTTTGCTGTCAAAGATCCTAGGTTGTATGTTCAAACATTCAGGGAAGTGCTGTCCTGAATAAGGCGGTGAAAGAAGGTGCTGATTCTCCTGTTGGGATGATGAGTGAGAACACCATGCACCCATCATCACCATCACAGAAAGGTTAACCTGTTACAGTGATAATGACACCTAACCTATAGGTGGGAAGGGAGCATGCTGGTGAAGAGGTTAAATTAGATCTCTTTTGAGTAAAATCCAACATCTATTGAAATGCCTTTACATATTCTTTTCGTTCTCTCCTGCCCTGTTTAATTAATTTAGAAAAAGTTAGATCTCTTGCTCTTGGAGCACTCCCTAGGAAGGAACCTTTGCACATGTGGATGTATGGATCCGGAGATCGTTATGTCACGCTCTGGCAAGCATTTGACTGACTTAGCCTTTTTGTTTTTTTTAACCTTGCGTTTCCCAGGCATTTTAGGAGACAAATGTGACAAGAAGGTGGAGCTCCTTCTGGAGAGGGAGGAGCTCTCTCAGCAGTGGGGCTTCTCCTTGGGAGCAGCGAGGAGAAACTGCCATAGGTGGGCACAATACTTAGGAAGGAAGGCTCAAAGGGGATCCAAGCCAAGATCTCTCTTCTCACTTGGATGCAGCAAAGTGGAATTTGGGGTTCACTCCTAAGAAGGCTGGGCCACATGTATTTATTTTCCCGAATGATCCAATCCAACCTGATCTGACCATGGGGGGGAGTCTTCTCTGGTGTCACAAACCCCCCCATCTTCAGCCTATTCTTTGCTCCTCTAATAATCCCAAATGGAAATGTCTTTTCCCACAAGCACAAGCAATTGCGTTAGCAACCAAGCCTGGATTGAAACCCAACTGTAATTTCAGAATGGCAACCGTTTTTGTTTGTAAACTCAAACGCCCACACGGTTCCCTGTTGCCTTCGGAGAGCAGCTGAAAACCAGAAAAAAAGAAAAAAAACACTACTACATAAGCTCAACCATATCTATTTTGGGTGGTAGATCTCTTCTTTGCATATTTTTATTGCTGAGAAGTTTTTCTCTCTTTTCCACTCTCTCTAGACACAGTCTCCTTAAAAGCACCCTTTTGTTTTGCGGCTGTTCTTGAGCACTCTGTTCAGATAAAATTCTCACCCATCTCTAGTAATTTCTAAAAAAATAGCCATATCCCTCTTGAATGGAAATATAGCACTGGAGAATCAGGCGCATCCTGGCAGAAAAGTCGGGGAGACTTTTAAGGGAAATTGCTTCAGGAAAAAGAGATTAATGTCCACCCAATGTCAGAGATGGCCATCATCTATAGGCTGATAATCCTAGGCTGTCTAAATTACCTACATTAAAGATCAGGTTCCAAACGAGCCACCTCTGGAACAATTTGATCAGTGAATAACTGATATTTTCCTCTTCTATCACATTAAAAAAAAATGGGGGGAAGATAACATTTGGAAATGTTCCATAGCCTGCCCTCAAGATTTTTGGGGAGTTCCATGTGGCCCTAGGGGTTTGATTTTGCACCCCTGATTTCAGGAATGCCACCAGTTTCCACTGGGACCCTGGAGTGTCCTTTCTTCACATGGATCCTTGCCCAATTCTAGTTTTGATAACTGTATTTCTTAGTGCACCCATCTTTCCATTATTCTTCATAAAGTTCTTTAGAGTGGGGAAGCTGGGTGTGTAATCACAGTTAATTCTGACTGATCACCACTCTGGCTTCTTCCTCTGTGAGGAGAGTTGAGCAATGAACATTAATGAGCCTTTGTTGGTTTTCCCTGTAATCATGATAGATATTTACTGACCACTTAGATTTCTCATCCTTCTTGTGCACATAGCATCCGACACACGAGGACAATGATGCATGGAGAACCAGCTTCATTCTTCCCGTGCCAAGCCATTAATATCACTTTCCGACCAGCACTCCTGGAGACAGATGCCATCTGATCAAGGACTGCTGAGGGAGAGCAGGAGGGAGGAACAAGGAGTGATCAGCGTAGCAGGTTCACCCCAAGCCCCACCAACATTACGGAGAATGTACGCCTGGCACTGGTGCATCTGGAAAGTGGTAAAACAAAACTGAGGGGAAAGGATGAGTGATAGCTTTGTTTTATGTTGCCGTAAGAGCTAAGGACATTGCTTTAAACCAAGCCAGACAGTTGAGATGCCTAAGTCAGTATTTCTGAATTCCACCTGCTTCTGCAACCTGATTTTTTTTCACTCTAATTCCATCCAGCTTCCACATCCTTTTCCCCTTAGGTCTGTTTTCCATTCATTTGTTTGAGAGATGATCTTCTGGCCCTTTTCCATGTGAGAATCATACCTTCCTTTCCTACAGGAATTCTACTAGTTTCTTCACTTTTTCTGGATTCTCTCGTCTTATTCTTAAGGATTCATGTCACCTAACAGGAGTCTCCCGCCTCCATCACATTCATTCTAGCCTATTGCATAACTTCTAAAATTCATTCCTGGTTCTTTCATTATCACAGTTGTAGCTTAACAGACGTCACCTACCAACCTACAGATTCCTGCCTTCATATGCCCACAGAACCTAGATGACACTAATTCATTTCTTCTCACATGCACTTTAGCCTCTTCATTTATAATTAAACCTCCACCTTCACTTCCCTGCATGTGTTCCTCAACTCCACTCCACACGATTTAATCCCCTTCATTCAGATTTAGGACACTTTTCCCTTTGTTTCCCCAACCTACGAAGTATCTGTTTTTCTTTCTTTGGTTTTGTTTGTGAGTTCACATTCTTTATCGTTTACTCCTCGTGAATTCCAAGTTGCAATCTTCCATATGACATGGTTGTCACCGGATGGGCTCAGAGGCCTCCCCTGTCCATTAGGGCTTCGGTCAATCAAGAATTGCTTTTTAGTAAGATAGAGAAGGTGCAGACTAAATTATCAAAATTCCCTGCTAACAAAGAGGACAATACTGATCGGTTTGGGTCACAAGTCCAAAAGTTTATCCCATTGTACTCCTGCTATTCCATGCCAGGTAGGATCCGTAATCCAGAAACAACCTTCCAAGCCAGTATCCCACCAGTTAGAAAGTACTTGGGGTCTACAGACGTCCACTCAGGAGCCCTATCCTAATAATATGTTTATTAAGCATAACTGCAAATGTAGATCAGCGAAGTCAGCAGGGAGAAGTCTAAACAAACATGTCTTCTTTTTTTCGTTGCCCTTTCAAAATGTTTAAGTGAACTGTAGGGAATTGGGTTAAAACTGCCTTCTCAGGCTGGTTGCTAGACAATTTGCAGCAAGGGAGCCCAAAGGCACATGGTGGGGTTTGAGAACATCAGTGCAACACGGCCAGCGCATGAAAAGAGCTTAGCCTAATACATTTATAGTTATTTCCCTGCATCGAATATTAATGATGTAAAACTGAACTGCCTGCTGTTCGGCTGTTATTGAAGAATCTTTGCATCAGTTGAGTAAAAGGCTAGACAGCTTGCTGCTTGCTTAGAACCTGCGAATATCGCCTATGAACTGTTCAGATCAATACTGGGCAAAAATCTGACCTCTGGTTGGTTCCTTCCTTTCTTGTTAAAAGCTGCTGGATTCCAACTTCCGTCTGAGTCGGGGGTTTGTAGCATTCCCGCTCCTGGGGTTGGAGAGTTGCTGAATGTGGAAAGATGCTAAATAAGAAAACAGGAGACACATTTCTCCTCCTTTCCTTGGTTGAGTCACCAATGGAATCTATTCCAAACTTTTAATCCAGCAGGGCACAAGCAGATGCTCTGAGCAATTGGATGGAATTCTTTGTTGTTGTTGTTGTTATTATTATTATTATTTTAATGTACTCTCTTGGAAGTTCTGATCTGCAGCAGGAAGAGGAATGGATTTGATCAATTAATCATCTTTAAAATCCTCTCGGATAGATTCTAGCTGTATCCCCTGTTTCTCCCAATCCTCAGCCCTCAGGATATGGCAAACTACCATTCCCTCCCTCCCTCCCTCCCTCCCTCCCTCCGGATTTGAAGTTGACGCTCCTTTTTAGGCAAGTGTGAACAAAGTATTCCAACTCCGACCCTGTTGAAAAATGCAGCGCTTGCTCAGGTTGATGCCCCTGCTTCCTACAAGGATAAATCAGGAATCGTTTGCGCTTGTGTGAACAAACGGCTCCAGGTTTCAGCTTGCATAATTCTATCTGGCAATTGAGGTTTGCAAAACATCTGGCTTCCTTGCTGCATCTGCACAGGCTTGGCGTAGGAACACTGCCCTCCAGAGGTACAACGGTTCCAAAGTGCACAGGGCCCTCATTCTTCATTCTGTGCCATTGCTAATCGAGCCAATCTGTCGCCGGATTGTTGGCTTTTTAACAGTGGGAAAACAATAGGTCGGCCCCTGCCGTCAGCGGCGTTGCGTGCACAACAATGGGCTTGTGAGCAAGATCATTTTGAGTCTCCTTCAGAATATTTGCACGGCACCCTTCAGATCCCCCAGGGAGGTCTGCTTGTTAGTTTGGTTAGGGGGAAAGAGGGGGGGGGGGGGGAGGGAAACAGTTTGCAGAGAAATTTCAGCTTGAAAGTTTGGGTCTGTTTTAAGTAGGTCCTGATTCTGCCAAGGCAAACTTAGTCTCACAGAGTTGGAGAAGTTGGAGTCATCCTGTTGGCAGGATAATGGGAAAAGATCAATTCAGCCTAGCAATCTAGTTTTGTCAGTTCTGCCTGTTGAGGCTTCTTCTAGGTGTGTGTCTGACAATGGTCTTTCCCATCACATCCTGCTTTATCTTTCTTGATTGGAAGGGGATAGACATTGATCCTTGGCCCTACAAGCCCTCCAGGTGTAATGGTCTGTGGGAATGACCTTGGGAGACAGGAGGAAGAGCCACAGATTAGACAAGGGTCTGATAAGAGGCAGCTGAGCCCACAGAAGAAAAGGGTGTGTGTAAAGCAACTCAGAAGGGACCCTCCCTAGTTTCTTGGGCTGTAAAGGTGACGGGGGGGGGGGAAAGGTACTTTCAGACTTGCAAGATTCTGTTAATGTAACTTTACAATGAAGATAGAGCTAGTACTTCTGCGTGTGCTTCTAGTCTGGACTACCTTGCAAGGCTGACAACAGGTTCCTTCCCTCCAGGGCAAATGTGTTTGTTGCAACTCTGTTGTAAAACAACTGAGGGGGCTTAATCTAGATCCAGTTTTAAGATGATCACCCCTCCTTTTCTGTCCCCTTTAAGCTAGTCACTGTTGCTATTTATTTATGCATTAGAGTGATAGCTTGCCTTGATGCACACAGCACTTCCTCCTTCCATTTTCCCCCACACCCACATCCCCACGAGGTAGGCTAGGGCTGAAAGAGTGGGACTGGGCTAAAGTCCTTGGCTGCAAGTGGCCTTCAGCCAGGGTTTCCCCACTCTTAGCCCAACACCTTCACCACCACCCCGTGCCTGCTCTCATTCTTGGGGTATAAGGTTTGACGTTTGCAACCGTTGGTTTCACCTCTTCCTTCTTCTAAGCCACCAGGCCAATAAATGCCACATGCCAGATCACCTGAGAATCAGCACAGCTGCTAGATCTGTTAACTAATCCAGAATGAGCAATTAGGAACCAGGCAAGTCGTCGGCATCTTTTCCCTTTTCCTTCCGGCTTTTTGCACTGCTGACAGCAGCGTGGGATAAAACGTGCCTCTCTTCCCCTTGGCAGCAGCTCCATTCTACATTTCCTGTAATGAGGTTTTGACGTGGTCCTTTCCCCTCCCCGGTCCTGCCATTCTCTGTTAATGGTATCTGTTCACATTGGAGGGGGTGATCTCTCAAGGAATAATACAGTACTGCAAGCATTAGAAATCGAAGCGAGAACGGGTGGCCTTTTGCAGCTGACTTTGCTGGAGTTTTTATTAGCTTTCTTTCTAAATTGTTTATTAATGGTTCTGCCTTTCATAGCTGAGTGCACACAGTTAATGAGGAAAGCAGGTGAGTGAAAGTTTTGGAACAGCACAACACTGTTGTCGAGTGCCACATGTGGTGTTGGGAACACGAGAAACGCACAGTAGTTTGCACTCCTTTTTGCAGTGCTGGCAATCTTATTTTCCCTAAAAAAAGGGGGGGGAGTACTTTTTAATAACCCAGAGGTTTAATAAAGAAGCTTCCCCCCCCCTTTTCCCAACTCCTTATATGTTAATTTCCCAATAATTGCCAGATTTCTTACATCCCCAGAAATACTGAGGCTTGAAAATTGTGATCACCAGCACTGTTTTTTCCTCTTGAGAGTCCTTAATCAGTGGCTGGGGGCAAGAGGAGAGCTGTCCTATGTAAAATGCTTCACAGAGGATTTGCTGACATATTGCAAAAAATGTTAGAGGGGTGTCAGAGCTAAAAAACAGATGAGTCCCAAGGAATCAGACATTTTTTTTTTTTTTTGCCTTGAAGGGATCACGAGCACAAAATGCATCGAACCCTTTACAGGTCCTCTTTTATCCTTTCCTGTCCCTCCAAAAACTACAAAAATCAAGCTGCCGAAGATTATGGGGGAGGTGACCAGGCCAAACTTGTCAGTGCTTTAAAAATTAGCCCTTAGTTGTAAAAGACAAAGAGATTAAGGGGGGGAAGAAGAAAACGAGCTTCCTCGATTGGCATTCTGGAGTGGAAATGTGGGGATTTCAAAGGCAGCCTTTCATCCCATTCTTCCACCAACCAATCATATTATTAATTCAAAGGATTACAAGACATGTAAAAACAAATCATTAATCACATCCAGTTTTGTGAGAGAATGAATTTTTGCTGTTCTATGATACCAGTAACATCTGGAATGTCTTACATGCCGTCTAAGAATGTTTATGGTGGGGCATTTTTCTTCCCAGTTTCCTGCCTGCTTGTGGCTTTGCAAAACTCTGATCTTTGAGCATTGCTGTCCATTGCTCTAATCACTGATCATCCTGTGCATTGTCCTTCTTTGTCACCGTAGAACAAGCATGAGGAGAATGTGGAATCTGGGGAAGATGCTATCCTCAGCAAACGTCACAACCGATCGCTGATGGAAAGCTTGACCAAACGCAAGGTTGGTTGGTTGTTTGTGTGGGGGTGGGTGGAATATTCTATTCTGTTTTTTTCCCCAGTGGAGAGATTTGTGATGGATTTTGACCTTTCTAATGGTCAATTGTTAATTTCAATTTATTACGGCCATTAGCAAGCAAAACCTTTCAAATATACAGGCCAGAGAAAATTAGGACAGAACAAGGCCACCAGTCAGGAGCCCATAAATGCATGCCTTTATGGAGTTGTACAACCTCTCTGATTTGATTGTATGCAAATGTCTCTGTGAGAGTGAGTTCTTACACTGTCAGTAAAAGGCAAGATAAGAACAAATCCAATTGGTGCAAAATGGAAGATAGATGGAGACAAGGTGGTGTGCTCCAAAGAGGGGGTTAAGCTTTCAACAGAGACAGATGCGCGTCAAGTCCAATCTGTATTGCTTTATGTCCATATTTTGGTGTGGGTTTTTTTTTGCAAATGCTTGTATAATTGTAACAGTTTCAGCATGCTAAGAATGAAAGGAGAGCCAGTGTGGTGAAGGTGCTAGGCTAGGAGACCCAGGTTCTGGTCCCACGATAGGCATGGAAGTCAACCAGGTGACTCTTTCCCAGCCCTAACTGGAAGCCAGTAAACATTGCAAAGGAAGTCAGCGTCAAATCACTCCTGTAATACACCAACCCCCCTGCAAAGACATGTTGCCAGGAGTCAGAGTTGACTTGACGGCACCAGAAGAAGAAATCATGATTAAGGAGTTTCCTGGATTAATCCTGAATCTGGCAGGGTACCAGCTAGGAGAGACAAAGAAGGAAAAATAGACCCTCTTTTGGTCAGGCAGGAAGATTGGGCCAATTCCAGTTGATGTACCCCCACAGAAGGCCTGACCCCAAGCACCCCCCCATCTCACCTTGTAGTCCCTGGTGAGCTCCAATGAGTCCAGGTTTCTTGGTCTATCTGCATTATTTGTCTGCAATGCCCTCTGGGGCATGTTGGGAAATTTAAGTGGCTTCTAGTTTCATCTCTCCATGCTGACCTTAGCACTGAAAAGAAGTTTAACAGGGTTCCGGTTCCTGCCCAAACAGGAGCATCAGTGGGAGGAGGGTCAAAAAGTCAAGATGACAGCTGTAGTTGTGGACAGCCCTGTACCCAAAGATGCTAAAGGCCTGATCTCTTGATTCAACAGAGATGGAAGAGGGACTGCAGAACAGAACAGAACAGAATGTGCCCTGCGAATAAGGCCTTAAATGTACCCCTTTCAACCCCCCCTTAAAAATAACAATGATGATCTGCAACAAAATGTTGCCATGTGGAGAGTCTTAGGGTCTAGTTCTTCTGTTCCGCCCAGAAACTTTTTCTTATGCTTCTGCAAATGTTGATCTTCCCCAAGTTTGTTTGTTCCTGTTTCTTGTGATGGGGAAGCACCATTTTGGCTCTCTGTGATTCATTGTTTACAGTCCTAACATTCGAAATAAAGACTGATTCTTTGCCCAGAAGTGGGCTTCAGGGAGAATATCTATCCTTTGCTTTGTTATTTTGCTCTTCTGGTTCCACATCTGAGTGTGCGCAGATCTATAACAAGTAAACTGTGGCTTGTTTTCCTCCCTGCCTTTCTTTGACACAGAAAAAATCCAGGAAACTCAAAAGGACGTCAAGTTTAGAAGATGGGGAGGATGATCTTGAATGCCAAGGAAACTTAACTAGAACGTCTGTCCATTATACCAAGTAAGCGCCAGGGGTTTCAGGATAACAATATTTTCTTTTAAAACTAAATCATGTCTATCCGTAGCTAATCCGCGTGGCCCTGCAAGGCTTCTTGATTTTGACCTACAAACAGTCAAGGGAGAAAAATTGTTGTCAGGGAAGATCAACCCCTTTCTATTTTCCTAGTGTTATTCAATGCAGCTTTATTAGTACTTCCTTTCTCTGTCGAGGAACAGGATCAGAATCTGATTAAAGAGACAGATCCTTCCCCAGACCTCTGTCTTTCATGTAAGCCTGCTAAAATCTAACCTGATTTAACCCAGTTAAACCTAGAATTGGCTTTCCAGAGATTAAAGACCAGGATACTGTTCAGTGATATCCATGGGTGTCTGTTTTGAACTGGAGTGTCTCAGAAAGCCAGAATATTTCAGATTTCTGGGTTATGATGATAACTGCTGCTTCACCATTCCTTCTTGGATCCTCCTGCAAGGGCCAAACAAACCAGCCTATGCTTTCTTAGTTGAACTGAGGTCCTTAGAGAAACAAGGATTGTTTAGTGTGCTGAAATGGTCAGAAGAGGAACAGCCAGGAATTCTGGTTGGCATAACAATACAAATCACAGGCATGGATTCTTGGTTTGTTTAACAGAAAGAGCCAAGGGGGGATGTTCAAGCTTCCATTTGCTCCTCCTTGCAAATTCCAACTTCCATTGGCCCCTCGCTGCATCCCAGCCATCCTGTCTGATGGATGCATTGATTTTGATTTTGGATCAATTTCAGCAATTTGTAACCTCGTTTTGTCCTCCCAGAACAAATCGGCAAAAGAAAACAATGAAACTCTCCCGGGCGCTCTCGGACCTGGTGAAATACACCAGATCTGTTGGAATCCATGACGTGGAATCTGAAAGTAAGTTTGCGACCACCCTTACGAAAAGTCCAAATCTGGGTAGTCTTCTTCTCAAGGTTGGGTTGCATGTTTCTCCAGAAGTCCTAGCTCAAATGGCCTCACTCATGTGTAATGTTGTTTGGGGTGCCAACCTCAGGCAGACAATAATAATTGCTCAGTATGATCCCTGCAAATATTCCCCAGATGACGTGGAAGTCATTTAAATAATGCAATCCTGTTACCTCTAATAACTAAGTTTGCATTCTACCTGGAGAACGTACATTCAAAGTCCTATAGGGGAATCCCTTTCGTGCCTGCCTTGCCAGATTGGGCTGGGAAAGGAAACCTGTGGCCTCTTTGTGAAAATATAGACTCTTTATTTAAGAACCCAGGTGCTAGCTGCTTGGTTAAGAGTAGAATTGGAAAATATATACTGATTTAGAGTGAGTATTACTGTCCCCAGATAGCTTCCAAATATGGTTGCATTGCTGTACAATGCTTTAGACTTTCTGTCCTGGTGGAAACTTCCCCCGTTCTCTGCTATTGCTACTAGATGGAGGTACAAGGTACCCTTTTGCCAGTGGGGAGGAGGTGAACAGATCAAAGATGCTCCAAGGGAGACAAAGCCTTTGTCACCCAAGGCTTCTTGTGTTACAGTCTCTTCCAGCTGGCAAGTGTCATCCTTCAGCGAAACAAAAGCTCACCAAATTCTCCAGCAGAAACCAGCCCAGTATCTCCGCTTCAACCAGCACCAGCTCTCTCGAATCTATCCCTCTTCCTACCGCGTGGATTCCAGTAATTACAACCCTCAACCCTTCTGGAATGCCGGCTGCCAGTTGGGTAAGGAGGACCCCCTCAGTCCAGATGTTTTTAGCCCAAATCCACTTTCCTTCACGCTTCCATGCATCGGTTCTTCTCCTGCTCTTTGGAGTGAAGAAGAAGTGAATGGTGGGTACAGAAACGAAGCACAAGGAGAAATTTGCTTCAGTACAATTTGTCCTCGAGGAAAACTGAAGCAGTCTTTCTCTCGGTTTAATCCCCCTGCTGCTGTTTTTAGCCCAGTTCTTAAAATTAGCTGGTGGAGAAAGAAAAGAAAACCATTTCCCCTTTTTTTCATTTTCAGACATGATGGTTCCTCTCAATGCCATTTGGGGCTGTTTTGTTTCCGAAACTAAACAAGCTCTTTTTCCTTGGAAAAAAAAAAAAAAGAGGAGAAAAGTGAGAAATGCTTTCCGAAAACGGCTAGACCAAAATTAGCCCAGAAAAGCACCCTTAAAAATTCGCTTCTCAGTTATTTCCC